AGGCTAGCGCTAGGAGGGGCCGGGCGGCGCTAGGAGGAGGCCGGGCGAGCGCTAAGGGCCGGGCGGGCTCGACAGGGGCCGGGCGGCCGTGAGAGGGTGCGGCAGGGGCCGGGCTGGCGTGCGCTGGGAGGGGCCGGGCGTGGGCAGCGGGCCGGGCGGGCTGAGGGGGCCGAGCGGGCGCGACGGGGTCTAGCGGGCGCGACGGGGCCTAGCGGGCGCGACAGGGGCGAGCGGGCGCGATGGAGCCTAGCGGGCGCGACGGGGCCTAGCGGGCGCGACGGGGCCAGGCGGGCGCGACGGGGCCAGGCGGGCGCGACGGGCCAGGTGGGCGCGACAAGGCCAGGCGGGAGCGACGTGGCGGGCGTGCGCTACGGGCCGAGCGGGCGCTACGGGCCGAGCGGGCGCTACGGGCCGAGCGGGCGATACGGGCCGAGCGGGCGCTAGGGGATGGGCGGGTGCTAGGGCTAGGTAGGGGGGGGGGGGGGGGGGGGGGAGGGGGGGGGGGGTAGGCTAGGGCGCGGGCGGAAGCAGGCGGGTGGACCTAACCTACACGTGATACCATGTTAGAATGCAAGAATGGATTACTAAGTAGAGATTACAGCAGGGCTCAAAATTGGTTTAGGGGGACCCTTGGTAATCAGGGTACCTCAAAAAAATTGCCCTGCCTCCTAGGGTGGAAATTTCGGCACCCTTTGAAAATCAGGGTAAATTTTAAAAAAAAAACCGAGTACACTGTTTGGCCAGGGAAAAAAATTGAACACCCTTTCATGTGCTTACCGTACAACAGTCGATCATACTTTCGAGTGCTTTCAGATCTAGAATGCATACAAGCACGTTGTCTCTAACATTATCAATGCATAGCTAGATAACCTACTACTACTACTACTACTACTACTACTACTACTACTACTACTACTACTACTACTACTACTACTACTACTACTACTACTACTACTACTACTACTACTACTACTACTACTACTACTACTACTACTACTACTACTACTACTACTACTACTACTACTACTACTACTACTACTACTACTACTACTACTACTACTACTACTACTACTACTACTACTACTACTACTACTACTACTACTACTACTACTACTACTACTACTACTACTACTACTACTACTACTACTACTACTACTACTACTACTACTACTACTACTACTACTACTACTACTGCATGTTATTGATTCTGATCCTAATTCATAGGAATGCGCTCTGAGTCTCACGGCAGTCACTAATACTCCCGCTACAAATAGCTCACTCTGCAGACCCACTATTCCCCCCGCCGACTGAGCTGGGAGCAGCAGAGGGTGTTGCGTTCTCTGGCTCAGCAAACAGCGCCGAACTGGGGATAGCGCCGGTGAAGTCTCGGATAGTGCGGCGGGGCTTTTCTCCACGAAAGATGGCCACCACGTCGAACCAGTCCACGTCATAGTCCAGCAGGGAGCACCGCATGAGATGGCCGAGGGTGATGTCGCCCATGCTACCCCGCGCCCATGTCTTTATTAGGTTCTGCTTGGAGAAACCGCGCTCGCAGTCGACAGTGCTCAGCGGGAGAACGGCGACAGCTTGCCACATGAGCATGATGTTGGGGTAGCTGAGCTGCCAGTTGCTGTCACGCAGCGTGTTGCTCAGCGCCTGGAAGAAGTCCTCATGATGATGCTGGGAGTGCATGGTGGATGTGAACATCCATAGCTCCGTGACTGCATTGTTGTACTTGAATCATGCAAGGGGGGTTCGGGGCGGTGAGGGAGGAATGGTTCAGTGTTGAGACTTGAGAGGCAGCGATTCTGTTCGCATTGCATAGCATACCATGACTCCATGGTTGAGAAGTAGGCGCTCTATATTACCTGGTAGCTTGTGCCGAAACAGGCTGTCCAGCTGCTTCAGCCACTTCTTGAAGGCCGCCACGCGTAGGATGTCGTCATCCAGGTAGGTCTTGTCCAGGAACAACTTAGTCCCCTCCAGGTTACGCAGATCGTTCAGGCGGCGGTCGAGGAACATGTTGACGGAGCGAGCATACTTGACGCAGAGCTCGAAGCAGGCTGTCACGTCGCCGTCAGAATCTTGGCCCGGCAGCGGTCGCTCGTGGAGTTCGAAGGAGAACGACTGCGGGTTTCCGTCACCGTCGACGCCCTCTGCCATCATCACCCGCTTGTCCTTAGCTGCATGCGCCGCGATGAACTCCGGCAGATGGAGCTTCTCCCCATGGCCGAAGCCGTGCCCAGGCCCAGAGCTAAGATAGCGCGCCGAGATCCGCATCTTGGTTTGCTCAACCACATGTGCCACGAGTGTCACGTTAACCTGTACGGGCGGGCACAACACACGCACCACGCATCAGTGCTATGCTTTGCCCCGGAAACCACATGGACCAGTCGGCAAACATGGGGGGTGAGAGTCAGACACGCGTAGCGATATATTAAACAGATCAGACACGGTGATGCATACCTGGCGCTGCTGAAACCGTTGGTTGAGGATGTTCAGCTCCGTCAGAATGTCGGCGAGGAAGCGCAGGAGAAAATGAAACTTAAACGAAGTAACGACTTCATACAAGTCACTCCCATGCTCGCGTAGCAGCAAGATGGCGGCTAGGAGCACGTCCACGAGGCGGTTCACCGCCTCGCCCCTGGAGAGCCAGCGGATGACATGGATTCCCTGGTGTTCCAGGGTCGTCTGACAGAAGATCAGCTGCAGCACCATGAAGCGGGTGTAGCGCACGTGACTGCGTCCAAGGATGTCGGCCAGTGTCCGTATGATAAGGTCAATGATGCTTAGCTCGGGCACGGCTGCAGCCGCGTCCTTAGCCGCCAGCGCCTCCTTGAAGGCGGGGTGGGAGGATAGGGGAAGAGTAGTAGAAAGGCTGATGTTACTTCCAGGGATATAAGGCACGACCATGCATTTCATCCGAAAGTTTATACGTCCGTCGAACCGCAACAAACCGATGGGCAATGCAGTGAATCGAGACGAGGTGCTCGATTTGTGCGCGCAGACGGGTCACTACTCCGCTCCGCTCGCCGGTCATTACGGAAGCTCCATCAGTCGCGATGCCCACGATATTTTGCAGGTCCAGTCCAATTCCCTGGATGTAGTGCAAGAGGGAGGAAGTCAGAGATGCCGCGTCAGTCCGCTCGACACTCAGAAGTGTGACAAACTCGGTCGCTTCGGTGTTGCCCTTGAAAAACGTCGCGTAGAGCACGAGATGTTTCCCGTGGATGCGATCCGTGCTCTCGTCGATGCTGATGCCGACGTACGGAGAGGCGTGAAGGTGTTTCAGCTGTTCCTCCTGCAGATACTCCGACATGGACCGTATGCTCTCCTTGAAACCGTAACTGCATGACACGGAAACAAGGAGAGACGGACGGCAGGGCATTTGTACCATACAAGAAGGCCACAATTTGTGCACGTGGGGAGGGAGGACGAGCAGTGAGCATCAAACGGCAAATCGCACAGCAGAAGAACTACTGTCGAGGTTTTAACATACTCTGTGTAGTAGGCGCCGTACCCACCACCTGGCGGCAGATCGGGGTGGCCTTCCTTCGCAAGGAACCAGCACAGGGGGATGAACATCGCGATGGGCGCATCATGCCTGCAAATGAACAACGCGATGTGCAGCATGCGAATAAGATGCCGCGTCTGGTGATCCGTCCGCTGCCAGCGGGTCAGCGTCACTTGTCGCGCGCGCTCTTTCTCAGCATCCTCCTCCGCCTTGATCGCCGATTTGTGCGCACGGGTGCCGATGTGAGAGCGGATGCTGCCGAGCTGCAAATCACGCCCACCCTCACCCTTGATGCCATACGACGTGTTCGCACATGGGTCGGCGTGTTTGAGGCACGTGGCGCACTTGAGAGCAGGTCGTCCGTTCTTCATTCGATGTAGCCGCAGCCAGGGGAACCGCTTCGACCAATCATTGTCGAAACGGTTCTTTATTACTGCATACTCGGCCTCAGCAGCGGTCGTCAGCAGAGCGTCGGCAGCAAGCCCGGCAGGGCGAGAAGCGCGCGCGGGAGGCGGGCTTGCTGGGCGGCGAGGCGGAGGCGCACCCCAGAGGGTCGACTGCGTCCATGCGGACCGTCGCGGCCTTTTGGCGGTCTCGGAGGTAGGGGAGGGTGGGGTTGTCACGGAGGGATGGTCGGACTCATCTGCATCGGCAGACTCTGAAACGTCGATGGGCTCGATGCCCCGTTGAGATGGAGAAAGGGATCTAGGAATCTGTGGTGGGGCGGGCTGAGGAATTTGCAGAGAGCGCGGGGGAGATTTACGCTGGCTGAACGAGGGCGCGACTGCTGGTTGAGCGAGGGGGAAAACGCCGAGGACGCTAAGGCCATCACGATGACCAACATGGCCATCGTCAGGCTCGTCGTTCTCGGGAACGGCCATGTCTGAGTAGTAGAAGCGATAGAGTAACAACTAACGAGGGGAATGGTTGACCCAGCTCGGCTGGGTTGGGTGGAAGTATGAAGAGAAGGTGGGGGAAGAAGAGGATGAGGACGATGGGCCAAGAATGGTCTCGTGATAGGGAACGAAAACCACACAGCGCGGCAAAGTCAACCTGCTATGGCAGACTGTCCTTGCGCCGCGGGTGTTGCTGCGCTGGTGCATGCGATGCCCAGCTGTCCTTGAGACCACGCGGGAAAGTGGCCTCGATGCATAGCGCATACTGCATCTGGCACGCCGCTGGCAGTAGTGCTGCCACAGCGCGACGAATTCACTGCCACGCGCGCCGATTCTGGGGGGCTTGACTGCCAGTGGGCGGGCATGGCTGGCGGGGTTTCACGCGTGGCAGATTCGACAACAATCGAATCTGCAGACCTTGTAGGCTTCTGTTTCAAGGTGTTTTCGGCAACACCCTGCCTGGTCAGGGTATATCATGGTTTACTCTGGCTACAGCAGGGTAAAAATAAACTTACACGTTTAGCGAAAGTGTCACAAAAAAAATACCCTTTGAAAATCAGGATGATCCTGAAAAAGCGGCCGCTGGCAAGGGCAATCAGGGTGAAATACCCTTCAAATTTGAGCCCTGGATTACAGCACATATAGCCAGTTGGGGTTGTACTCATTAGGAACACACATCTACACTAGCCCATAACTTCTACATGCAACACATGTATAAGTTGACACTAGGTAGCGAGATAGGAGAGAAGTTGGCGAGAGAAAAGAGAGAAGTTGGCGAGAGAAACGAGAGAAGCACAAGGAAAGCGAAGGAGATACAAGGGGAGGTTGTCCCCTCTACAGTAGGAGTCAGCAATGTAGCACAACTACCAAGCCTACACAATCATATTATAAAAAATACACTTTGACACTGGCGTCAATCCGGATGTCAAATTTGCTCCCCTCAGTTTCTGCTCGTTGCTGCCCATGGCTTGCGGCACTGACCAAAACCATCCCACCCTCCATCAATCCTTCGTTCCGGTGTCCTCATTCTCGTTCCGGTGTCCTCATTCTCGTTCCGGTGTCCTCATTCTCGTTCCGGTGTCCTCATTCTCGTTCCCTGCCTCTCCCCCTCACCCCCCCCCCCCCCCCCCCTCTCCCCCCAAAACAGACCACCTCTCTGGTGCACGGCGTGCTGGGGCAGACGTTCCGCAATACCCCCGAGCAGCAGAGCCGCACACTGCGCTACACACGCCTGTCGTCCCTCCTCCACCACCCCATTGCCGCCGACACGGTGGAGGGCCGGGGCTTCCTGGACGGGGCCGTGGACGACTATGTGTCATCGGGCATCACCGTGCCCGACTGTCGCTTCTCGTCCTCTGGTCGCCAGGCGGTGGACGCTGCTGCTGCTGGTGCAGCTGGTGCTGGTGCTGCGGGGAGTGGTGGTACGGATGGTGAGAGCGCTGGTGAGGATTTGCTGGCTAGCGTGGTGTAGCGAGGAGGTGGGAGAGGAGTGAGAGAAGTGTGGAAGAAGAGTGAGAGCAGTGGAGCTTACACAATGCAGCTGTCGGATGGAGATGGTGGGAGGCATGATGGGAGATGGGTGAGAGATAGTGAGGGAGGAGGATGTGACTACAACGAGATGTGCAGCTGGATGGATGGGGGGTGCTTGCAGGGGTAGCCAGTTGAAGTGTGCCTGTTGTGCGCAGCAGGTAGCTCAACCCCTGTAGATAGATATGAATGGCCGTGTGCGTATGTATGCATCTCGTATCATTATGTATGGATCGAATGACTTCACCTTATTTTCCAACACTGGCCTCCCCAATCAACCACAGCTGGCTTCCAACCAAAACTCTCTCCACCACTCACCCCACAACATTTCGGGCTCTGGAAAAACGAAGGCTGCGCCTGGGGCCAGCATCTGCCCCTGCTGCCACTTCTTCCTCTCCTGCATCCGTGCTTGTGACACTACCATGCTTGAAACGGTCCAGCGAAAGTGGGGCTGCCACGGTGGGTAACGGCTTGGAACAGTCCAGTGAACGCGGCGCGCACTTGGAGGGCGAGGAGGTGCTTTCAGGCGCAGCAAGGCATGGTGGGGCAACAGTGGGTGCAGGGGTGGGGCCATCTGGTGAAGGTGAATCTGTGCCTGGTGTGAGACGCTTGGTTGGCACGGGGGTGGCGGTGGGTACAGTGCTGCAAGGGAGGCCAGTGAGGGGCGAGGGCGGGGGAGGGGGGAGCGCAAGGGGCGTGCCGGCAGCAGGAAGTGGGTTTGAGGGAGGAAGCCGAGAAGAGACAGGAGGAGGAAGAGGAGGAGTGGGAGGGGGTGGGAGGCGGGGGAGGGCAGCGGAGGGGCAGAGCGAGTGGGAGGCGAGGAGGCAGGAGGAGCAGCGGGGGCCGATGGGCAAGCAGGTGGTTTGGCCGAAGCCCACGAGGAGGGGGTTGATGCCCAGCCACTCCTCTCTTGGTAGCCACTGCTGGAGAGAAATGCGTGTGTCTTCAGGAGTCTTGGCCTGGGGGAAAGCAGAACAGGCGGGGAAGGAAAGGCAGACAGGCGGGTGGTTTGCCCAAGGCCCACGAGGAGCGGGTTGATGCCCAGCCACTCCTCCCTGGGCAGCCACTGCTGCAGGGAAATGCGCGTGTCCTCAGGTGTCTTGGCCTGGCATTGGGAACGCCTACATACAGCCAACGGAGGGAGCAGAGGGAATGAAGGGAGCAGAGGGAGCAGAGGGAGCAGAGGGAGCAGAGGGAGCAGAGGGAACGGAGGGGGGTGATGGTGAGAACCCAGGGAGGCAGTGTAATACTTCGAGCAAGTTGGGAGTCGGGTGGTCTGCATTGGGAGTCAGGTTGTGTTGCGTGGTTTTTGTGTCTGTTGTTGAAGCGACTGGAGAGAGCATCAGTGCGGTCACCTTGGCATCAGTCCATCCCAGTCGGCGTGTTATCCGGTGCACGTGTGTGTCCACACAGATGCCCTCCACGCGCTCCCATGCCACGTTCAACACCTGAATGGGCAAGCCACGCGGCATGTGGCACGGGGCATGTGGCACACGGCATACAGGTGCATGGGTGATTGGAACCTGGATGCATGGGTGATTGGAACCTGGATGCATGGGTGTGCGGATGCGCAAGTGACTGGGGTTCGTCCACACAGGTGCCCACCACGCGCTCCCATGCCACGTTCAACACCTGCGGTGTGGGCATACCTGGTTCCGGATGCCGGTGCACAAGGTATGGGCATACTGGAACCAGGGTGGTTGGCTGCACACGTGACTGGGTCCTGAACGTGATTGGATACATATGTGTGTTGCTACATGTGTGTTGACACATGTACCCTCCACTCCTCGTTTCTCCACCCTTCTTTCTCCTTCTCTACCCTCGCCCCTCCTTCATTCAACCACCCACCCCCCTCCCCTTCCTTCCCCAAAACCCCCGCTCTCAGCCAGCACACACCAAGTACGCCACCTTAGTCGATTTTTTAGGCGCCTAAAAAATCAACCCCCACTCTCAGCCAGCACGCACCAAGTACGCCATCTTAGGGCCGACCCCGGTCAGTGCAAGCAAATCTTCCAGGCTGCCCGGAATGTCCCCTCCGTGCTTCTCCAGACACGCGCTCGCCATCTTCTTCAAATACCCTGCCTTGCGGGAGTAGAAGCCCACCTGTAGGATGGGCGTGGGGGTGGGGGGTGTTCGTTTTTTTAGAAGTCTAAAAGACAGAACACATGGTAGACGGAGGGGCGGGTAAGGGAAGGAATATGGTGGGCATCCGCCATCTTCTTCAGTTACCCCCCCCTTTGCGCGTGTAGACGCCCACCTGGCAGATGCAAGAGGGAGGGAGATGAGGGGAGGAGGGGGGGGGGAAGATCAGGAGGGAGGGAGGGGCGAGTACAGCAGGGATGCACGGATGCCACATGGATGCCACATGGATGCCACATGGATGCCTCATGGATGCCACATGGATGCCACATGGATGCCACAGGGAAACATGCAGAGAAAGGGGGAAAGGGGGAAAGGGGGAAAGGGGGAAAGGGGGGACAATGGGGCTACACTGAAGCACGTAGAGCACCACCAGGTGCACGATTGGCCTCAGCAGGCATACTGGGTAGATGGTTTGGGTGATGAGCGAGGAATCTACGTTTGAGGCGCCTCAAAAATAGACCCCTCATGATTGGTGTTTGCAGACATACCTAGCAGATGGGTTGCAGGCATACAGGGTAGATGGCATACCGGGTAGATGGTTTGGGCAATGCTTGCTTCTGTTGCTGCCTTCATCGCTTCGGCTGACAGCAGCCCCGCCGCCTGCAGCCGCGCCACTGCGGCTGGTGGAGGGACGGGGACAGAGGGAGTGCCATGTCGACAGGGGAAGGGGGGGAAGAGAAAAGGGCCCGTCTTTCAGCTGACACCAGCCCCGCCGCCTGCAGCCGCGGCACTGCGGCTGGTGGAGGGACGGGGACAGAGGGAGTGCCATGTCATTGTCGACAGGGGAAGGGGGGGCAGAGAAAAGGGCCCGTCTTTCAGCTGACAGCAGCCCCGCCGCCTGCAGCCGCGCCACTGCAGCTGGAGCATGCGGGGAGGGCGAGGAGGAAAGGGAGGGGGGGAGAAGAAACGAGAGTGGTGGGGGGAACGAGGGAAAAGGCAGAGTGGGAAAAGGGGGAGAGTGGGTGGAGGGGTAAAAGGGGGTCTCTCCTGCGACAGCAGCCGTGCAAACCTGCAGCCTGCATTGTGTGTAGGTGTATGGGTAACGACACATTACGGCGCATACCATGTGTGATGGGGGCTTTGGTCTGCGAGGACAGCATGGCCGACACCAGCACATCAGGCCATACATTTTGGCATTACACATACCATTGGACACACCCATGACACATACCTTGGAACATACCATAACACATACCATAACGCATAATGGCGCATACCATAACACATACCATAACGCATACCATAACGCATAATGGCGCATACCATAACACATACCATAACGCATGATGGCGCATACCGTGTGTGACGGGGTCTTTGGTCTGCGAGGACAGCATGGCCGACACCAGCACTGCAAAGCGCCGCTGCTGCTCGAGGTGAGGCAAGGAGACCAGATGCAGGGTTGTGCAGGGAGGAGAGGGGGGAGGAGAGGGGGGGGGAGAAGGGGGAGGAGAGGGGGAGGAGAGGGGGGAGGAGAGGGGGAGGAGAGGGGGGGGAGAGGGGGAGGAGAGGGGGGAGGAGAGGGGGAGGAGAGGGGGAGGAGAGGGGGGGGGAGAGGTGGGGAAGAAAGAGAGTGAAAGAAAGAGATTCAACGGGACTACGGTTATCACGAGAACAATCCCAGCAACTGTATCCAACAGCTCTTGCTGGTAGCCGTTTTCCAGGACCCAACCAAGCCCCGGTATCCATGCCCCCGTAAATCGCTTCCCAGTGTGTGTCACCCCCACCTTCTCCCCCATGCCCCACCTTCTTCTCCCCCATGCCCCACCTTCTTCTCCCCCATGCCCCACCTTCTTCTCCCCCATGCCCCACCTTCTTCTCCCCCATGCCCCACCTTCTTCTCCCCCATGCCCCACCTTCTTCTCCCCCATGCCCCACCTTCTTCTCCCCCATGCCCCACCTTCTTCTCCCCCATGCCCCACCTTCTTCTCCCCCATGCCCCACCTTCTTCTCCCCCATGCCCCACCTTCTTCTCCCCCATGCCCCACCTTCTTCTCCCCCATGCCCCACCTTCTTCTCCCCCATGCCCCACCTTCTCCCCCATGCCCCACCTTCTCCCCCATGCCCCACCTTCTCCCCCATGCCCCACCTTCTTCCCCATGCCCCACCTTCTTCTCCCCCATGCCCCACCTTCTTCTCCCCCATGCCCCACCTTCTTCTCCCCCATGCCCCACCTTCTTCTCCCCCATGCCCCACCTTCTTCTCCCCCATGCCCCACCTTCTTCTCCCCCATGCCCCACCTTCTTCTCCCCCATGCCCCACCTTCTTCTCCCCCATGCCCCACCTTCTTCTCCCCCATGCCCCACCTTCTCCCCCATGCCCCACCTTCTCCCCCATGCCCCACCTTCTCCCCCATGCCCCACCTTCTCCCCCATGCCCTGCCCTGCCTTCTCGCACCCCATGGTATCCACAGGCGCCTCCCCGCCCCCCCGCATCGCCTTTATTGCCGTCAGCACCTCCCGCCAATTTCCCTGCTCCCCGCCTTTCACCTGCCCGCCGGAGAATCTTTTCGGCAGCCCGGCCACAACTATTTCACCCCCTCCTGCTCCACTATCCGCGTCTCTCTCTGCCGGCTGCCTTCGTTTCTTCCTGCCCCTGCCACCACCCCCAGCAGCCTCCGCTACAGCCATGCCAGCAGCTGCTACAGAGGCCTCAATTCCCACGTGTCCCAATTCCTCTTCCTTCACAATCACGTCTTCCGCTTCTCTCTTTACAGTCCCACCCTCTGCATCTCTCGTTACAGTCACATCATTTCCATCTCTCTTCACCTCCTCTGGACCTCGCTTTACAATCCCAGCCCCTAGTTCCCTAGCTTCAGTAGGGGTCACGACCTCTCTCTTCACAATCACGTCGCCTGCTTGTTGCCTGGCAGCCACCTCGTCTGCTTCCCTCTTTACAGTCACATCCGTTCGTCGCCGGGCAGACCTCCTTCTTGCCACCCGCATTGCCCCCTGCCCACCCCCGGTTTCTCTCTCATCCGCGTTACAATCCTCGTCGTACTGCACAATAATCGCAGGTTTATCCTCCCCGCGTGCACGCCTGCTGTATACCCTTTCTCCTGCAAGTGCGATGCTCCCTGTCTCCGCGCGCGCGTGCGCAAAGCGCAGGAACTCGTTCATCGTCGCGCGGAGGAGCGCGATGCGCGCCCCGGCGGTGGAGACGAGGGGAAGGGCGTGCAGTGCTGCGCCGCGGGCAAGCATTCGGCGCGGGCGCTAAGCAGACTCTATGTTGATAGGGTAACCATGGCGCGACCTTATTGGAGTAACGTGCACTGCCGGCGTGTAAGTCGAGCAGTCTGCATACTAGCGCAAGGTGCACCACGGTAGGCGTACACACGTATACGGTAGGTGACGAGGAGAAAACGCGCATCCGAGAATCCTTCTCCTGGGTTGGTGACGAGTAGACTCGTCGAGCGAAAAAACGATCGCCGCGCGGGTGCAAATTCAGCAACGCCCTCACAGAAACAAGAGAGGCGGGCGGCAATTACCCATGGAGGAAAGAGGCGGGCGGCAATTACCCATGGAGGAAAGAGGCGGGCGGCAGGAAAAATATGTCAAGTCCAGAAAGGAGAAACGAGAATGGAGGACGGGGAGAAAAAGGGTGTGGGAGAATGGTCTCGTGGCCCGAGCCTGCAAGGGAAACCACGGCCGCGCACTCAGCCTCGCTATCCCTCCACCGCTGGGAGCGGGGGGTTTTCGCTGCTCGGTTTCCCGCCTCACGCGGTGCCCCCCTCTCTAACCGCCACGTCAACACCCCTTCCGAGGTGATGCCGCTGCGGACTCTCAGCTTGGAGTGGACGAGTCATCGATGTGGCAGACCAGGGGTCTCACAGGTGTGCGACAATTCCAAGAGTTGGCCCCCGCTCGGGTTACAGACGGGCGCGACCCCGACCGGCGAGTGGATGGGCGAAACAAGAAACCAAGAAGATAGAGGATTTGGCAGTTACTGCTCGCTGGGCCACAGCTGCACACGTGGCTAAGACATTCACCAGCTGTGACTGCGTGCTAGCTGTTTGGAGGTACGGTACTTGTTCTCCTGTCGTAGCATCAAAAATCTAAGAGCGTATTCCTACGCAGTAGTGTTCACTACCAGCATAGGAACATAGGTTTCTGAATACCGTGATTTACACATTTTACCGAGTCCAGTACCAGGAACACCAACCTGCATGTTCGCACACAAGCCTGGTAATTAGCTATGAGGAACATAGGTTTCTGAACACCGTGATTTACACATTTTACCGAGTCCAGTACCAGGAACACCAACCTGCATGTTCGCACACAAGCGTGGTAATTAGCTATGAGGTACAGTCCCATTCGCAAATAGAACCACACGTGTCACATGTGTTGGGCTGAGAATAGCCCTAGGATCTTTTCATAAGGCTAAGTCCTTGTAACAGAGTGCTTAATAGCATATAGGAAGTCTTGAGTTGAACCCTTGTACTGGTGTGTGGAAATAAGTGATTCATTATAGCAAATGGATACAAGGTTTATATTATAATACAAGAGGATATGAAGATTCTAACTGTTTATGCACTTCAAAGGGTACATTCCATTTTACGACTCCATAAGGCGACTCGTGTAACCACCCGTAGTGTAATATCGGGAGGGTTATTTGTCATTGCTATCGCGCTGACTCTTGACTCTTGCAATTTTGGTTGTTGGGTTGCACGGTCAACGCTCTGCGACCGTTGCCCTTTCGTAACCTCTGCGACGTTTCCCCGACCTGTGTCTATCCATCGGTGGTACTGTAGCAGTGTTCACTCGGTGATTCTCGTTGTTGCAGTCTTCGCGTATTCGTACACTTACGCGAGACTCCGAAAACGCCTTAAGTTCTTTTATCATTTCCAACACCCTCATTCATTTCTAGGGTGTCGATGTGGACGAGGTTGCTGATGTGTTGAAGTTCAGTCAGCAGCATGCAGTACTGGAACTTTGACTCCATCAGCTTCTTGGTCGAATAGTCAGCTGCCATTTCGGTGGTGGGGCAGTAGACCAATTGGAGGCATCCCTGCTCGATCTCGTCCTTTACGAAAAAAAGTAGCGAAGCGAGATGTGCTTCGTCCTGTTCGCGAATCCGTTCTTTTTTTTCCGATTCTGATTGCTGATTGGTTATCGCAGAAGAGGAAGAAGCTTGGTAACTCAGCAATCTTTGCTTCTCCGAGCAGTTCGCGCATGTACATTCTTTCCTTCGTGGCTGTGCAAAGGGCGATATATTCCGCTTCAGCAGATGAGGTAACGATTAGTTCCAGTTTTCCCCAGTGTTATGAGATAGTGCGTAGGCTCCAGACGATAGATGTGTCAACTTATACATACATTTGCATATAGAAATTATAGGCTAGAATAGGTGTGTGTTTTTAGAGAGTACAAACCAAACCCTATATCTCCCTTGTTCCCTCTTCCTTCTAATCATTATGTTATTCTAACATGGTATCACGTTAGGTTAGGTCCCCCTCCCCGCCTACGCTTCCGCCCCTAGCCTTAGCCCTAGCCTTAGACCGCGCCCTAGCCCGTGCCCCGTCACGCCGCGCTGGCCCCGTTAGACCGCGCCAGCCCCGTGAAGCCGCGCCGGCGCCGTCACGCTGCGCCGGCCCCGCTAGAACGTACCGGCCCCGTCACGCCGCGCCGGCCTCGTCACGCCATGCCGCCCCTTCCCGCCGCGCCGGCTCCGCTACGTCGCGCCGGCTCCGTCACGCCGCGCTGGCCCCGTCCTGCCACGCCGGCCCCGTCACGCCGTGCCGTCCCGCCGGCCCCGCTCGGCCGCGCCGGCCCCGTCGCGCCCCGCCGGCCCCGCTCGACCGCTGTCGCAATGCGCCACGCCGCCGCGCCATGCCACAATGTCACGCCGCGCCACGCCGTGCCGCCGAGCCGATGCGCCGCCGAGCCGCGCCGTCGAGCCGCTGCGTAGCCGACCTGCCGAGCCGCCGAGTAGCCGCGCTGCCGCGTCGTTGTGCCGCCGAGCCACCGAGTCGCCGAGTAGCAGAGCCGCCGTGTCGCCGAGTTGCCGAGTCGCCGAGCCGCTGTACTGCTATGCCGCCCCGACCCGCCGGCCTTGGTTCCCCCTTCTGTGCCGACTCTCCAGCCGGCCGTCTCCACCGTTGCTCTCCACCGCTGCTCCTGTCGCTCACTAGCCCATCCGGCCCTTCTGTGGCACCACCGCTTAGGTTACCCTGCACTCCCACGTCTTAGGCACATGTCCCAGTACAGTCTAGTCACTGGTCTCCCTGCGTCGCTCCCCGCCTTGCCTCCGTCGGTAGTGCCATTGTGCACCTCCTACGTCGAGGGCCGGCAGCGCGCCGCCCCTCACTCCTCCTCGTTTCCTCCTACCACAGCACCGCTACAGACACTGCACATGGACGTCTTGGGCCCTGCCCTGGTCCATGGGCTTGGACGGGAGCGCTACTTCCTAGTCGTCGTTGACGATTTCTCGCGGTTCACCACAGTTTTCCCGTTGGAGCGGAAGGCCGACGTGCGACCGTTCTCCTCCCGTTGCTTCTCACTGTTCGCACCGCCCACTGACTGTCTATAGGTCGCTTACACTCTGACCGCGGTGGCGAGTTCGCCTCTGGCTCTCTAGGACAGTTCTGTCGTACGGAGGGCATCCGCTAGACGTACACACTGCCGGATTCCCCATAGCAAAATGGGATCGCTGAGCGACGCATCGGCCTGATCATGGAGGTGGCTCGCACCTCCATGGTCCACGCCGGTGCACCCCATTTTCTGTGGCTGTTCGCCGTGCACTACGCTACTCACCAGCATAACATGTGGCCGCGCTCCCAGCGACCACAGGTTTCGCCGACCCTTTTCTGGACCGGGTCTCCTGGTGACACATCTGCATTCCACGTCTGGGGCAGCATTGCTCACATCCGCGATACTGCCGCGGACAAGCTCTCAGCCCGCACTCTTCCTTGTGTCTTCTTGGGGTTCCCGCTTGACGCCTCTGATTGGCCGTTCTACCACCCCTCCCACCACCGTTTTTACCACTCTCGTGACGTCACCTTCGATCAAACGCTCCCCTATTACCGACGCTTCGTGCACCGCAGCGCTCTTGTGCCTCCTCCTCCTCTCTTCCTTGTCCCTACCCCCTCTGTTGCACCCCTCCCGCCCCGCCCGGCCCAGTCTGGTGTCTCCCACGCCACTCAGTTCCCCTCGGTTCCCCCTGTGGGGGAGTCGGCTGACTGTGGGGGCCCAGCTGCTGGGGGTGTCCGTATGGCGCCTCCCCCAGCCTCGGTCCCCCAGGCCCCTCAGCCGCCTGCTCCCTTGCCTCAGCAGCAGCAGCCGTCGCCGCAGCAGACTCCACGGCCGCAGCAGCAGCAGCATGGAACAGTGGGCTCTGGCGGTGTTGGTTCTGGGGGTGCGAGTTCTGGGGGTGCTGAATCCAGGGGTGCTGGTTCTGTAAGTGGTGAGACCGAGGGTGCTAGTCTTGGGGGTGCTGTTTCGCGGTGTGCGGGTGGCAGCTGGGGTGCCACTAGAGGTCCTGGAGTGGGCAGGCAGCAGCAGCAGCAGCAGGAGCCGCTGCAGTCACGCCGTGCCAGCCCCGTCTGGCCCTGCCAGCCCCGTCCCGTCCCGCCGGCCCCGCTCGACCGCGCCAGCCCCGTCGCGCGCCGACTGCCCCGCTCGATCACTGCCGCAACGCGCCGTGCCGCCACGCCGTGCCACCCTGTCACGCCGCGCCACGTCGTGCTGCCAAGCCGCTGCGCCGTCGAGCCGTGCCGCCGAGCCGTCGAGCCGCTGCGTAGCCGACCTGCCAAGCCGCCGCATCGTCGTGCCGCCGAATCGCCGAGTAGCAGAGCCGCCGAGCCGCCGAGTTGCCGAGTCGCCAAGCCACCGTACTGCTGTGGCGCCCCGACCTGCCGGCCTTGGTTCCCCCTTCTGTGCCGACTCTCCAGTCGGCCGTCTCCACCGCTGCTCTCCACCGCCCTCTCTTCACCCTCCCCTAGCGGCGGTCATCTGCTGCAGCCGTGGCGATGGCGGACGCTGTGCTTCGCCTGGACGCAGAGGGTCGGGCAATCGACTTTGAGGTGTGGCTCACTGACCTCCGCTGCTCGTTGAGGGGACAGCGCCAGGATGGCCAGTCTCTGGCCATTCATGTCGACGATAAGATCCCCTGCCCCGACCTGTATGCTGCCCTCTCTGACGCCCCCACGATTGCTGAGCATAAGGTCTTTGTAGCTGCTGAACTTGCTCACTCCGTCTAAGAGTCGCGTGACACAGTTGCGCAACTTGCTATCAGTTTCGCCCTCCCCCTGTCTGAGCGCCCCCCCTATCAGGCCCTAGAGACTGCACAGGCGTACTTAGATGCTGTTATTGTACGCTATTCTACTCCCTCCTCCGCCTCTGCCGGTCGTCTCCTCCTCCCCCTGCTCTTCACTGACCTTACGTCTTTTCCCACTGTCAATGATCTCGTCGCTCACTTGCGCGCACTAGAGACTAGCTATCGCGCTGCTAGCCCTGAGGCTCAGCTTCTTGTACTGCCTCCCTCCCTCGACGCTACCCTCTACTTCCTTGCCACGCGCCTTCCTGACCGCCTAGCCACTGCCTGCGACCACTTCCTTGCCCTCCACCGTGTTGACCTCACCCTCGCTGACTTTGTCACTACCCTGACTGCGATAGAGACTCGCCAGCGCACTATCGCTCAGTCGAGCGGTACTGCGGCGTTCCCTATCTTCTAGGGCTGTGCTCCCTCCCAGTGCACTTACTCTAACGCCTTTGCTGCTGTTGCTGAGACGGCCCCTGCTCTGAGACCGCTATGGCGGCCTCAGCGCAGTCGCGTCAGGGTAGGGGACGCCGAGCCCGGGGGGGGCGTGGCAGCGGGAGGGGTGGCGGGGGTGGCTAGGGTGGTGGAGGTGGCGGAGGTGGTGGAGGGGACGGTGGTGCAGCCGAGGAGCAGTGCTGGT